GGGCGCCCGGGGTCCCCGCGGGGGAGGGGCCGGCCGGGGTCGGAGTCGGCCCGGAAGCCCGTGGCTGGTCTGCCCTCCCCTGGCTGCCGTTAGAAGTGTGGGTCCCATGCCAACACCGGGGTTCGGTGGCAGAGGCTGCCCCCCTCACCCCGCCGGAGGCCTGGCTTCCTCTTCTGAGAGGCCCGGCTGCAGCCGGGCTCCTGCTGACCTAGGTTCAAATCCAGCTCAGCCCTGCCATGCTGTGTGGCCCATGTGGGCTTTGGTGTCTACCAGCTGGGGTTGGACTGGGGCCTGGATGCGGGGCCTTGACCCCCGGGCGCCCTGGGGTGTGGAGGTACGAGCCTGGCACTGAGGTCCAGGGTGTGTGCCTTGGGGTACGCGGGGTACGCGCCTGGCACTCAGGTTTGGCGTGTGCGCCGCGGGGCGTGCAGGTACGAGCCTGGCACTCTGGTCCAGCGTGTGCGGGTACGTTCCTGTCACTCAGGTCCGGGGCACACACCTCGGGGTGCGCGGGTACGCGCCTGGCACGCGGGTCCGGAGCGCCTCGGGGTGTGCGGGTACGCGCCTGGCACTCGGGTCTAGGGCGCACATCTCGGGGTGCGCGGGTACGCGCCTGGCACGCGGTCCGGGGTGCACATCTCGGGGTGCGCGGGTACGCGCCTGGCACGCGGGTCCGGGGTGCACATCTCGGGGTGCGCGGGTACGCGCCTGGCACGCGGTCCGGGGTGCACATCTCGGGGTGCGCGGGTACGCGCCTGGCACGCGGGTCCGGGGTGCACATCTCGGGGTGCGCGGGTACGCGCCTGGCACGCGGGTCGGGGCGCACATCTCGGGGTGCGTGGGCACGCGCCTGGCACGCGGGTCGGGGCGCACATCTCGGGGTGCGTGGGTACGCGCCTGGCACGCGGGTCCGGGGTGCGCGCCGCGGCGCCTGGGCTGGGTGACAGCCCTGCTGGGAGGTGACGGCCGGGCAGCATTGCCCGCCGGCCTGGCGGGAGGAGGGCGACTATAGCGGCCGGCGTGCGCGCGGCACCGTACCACCGTGCCCGGGCGCGGAGACCCCTCAGCACTTCCTGCGAACCACCGAGTCTCGCTTGTACTTATGAGTCTCCGCGCTGTGCTGTTGACAGCGGCGGCCTCAGTTTCCCAGCCTGAGACCTGGGTGGGGGGGGTAGGACCGGAGACTTGGGCAGCCTGTGAGCCCAGGCGCGGGGCGCAGGCGCGGGACTGCAGTGCGGAGATGTACGGGTGTGTGGGACCCCACTCCACACCCCTGCGGGTGGGAAGGGGAAACTGAGGCTCCGCACATGGGCCGGCCCCCCTGCCACCTCGTGTCCCCTGCCCTAGGCCGCCACCTCGCCCGGGGCTGTGTCCCCGTCCCCGGGCCCCGCCCAGCCAGCGGAGCTCAGCAGCTGTGGGCGGCTGGGGCCGCGTGGGCCGAGCTTGTCACCCGCGGAGCTGTTGCTGGGCGACTGCTGGTGGGGGGGGCGACTTCCCCGGGAGGGGCGGGGCCAGGAGAAGCCAGGCAGGGCCAGGCCCAGAGGCCGCTGGGGGGCCGGAGGGCTGGGCACCCGCAGAGAAGGAAAGGTGGCAGGCCCCAGACCCAGTGTGTCCTATGCCTGTGCGGTGCTCGCAGTCCTCCGGATCTCAGGATCGTGTTTGGAAGCCAGCTCAGGGCAGACAAACCTGTGACACACTTTCCTGTCCACGACGCCACCGCAAACATCAGAAGTAGAGCCGGGGCTTAAGCAGTAGAGCGCCGGCTTTGAGTGGACAAGCTAATGGACAGCGCCCAGGCCCTGACTTCAACTCCAGTACCCACCCCCCTACAATAAAGAGAGGGCCCCGTGGTGAAGCAGGCTGCCTTGCACGCGCTGGGGGCACCCAGCTGGCACTTTGGGGGCGAGCTAGGAAGGTGTGGAGTGCAGGACCGGCTCTATCACCGCTCTTGGCCCTGCCCGCCGCGGTGGCTCACAGCTGTCCAAGGTGACAGCTGGCCGAGAGGGAGCCTGCAGGCCACCAGCCACCTCGTCTCCATCTCCACAGCTGCCGCAGTGGAAACCGCAAAAGCCTGGTGGTAGGGACGCCGTCGCCCACCCTCTCCCGGCCCCTGTCTCCTCTGTCGGTCCCCACGGGTGAGTGCGAGCAGTGGGGACGGGGGCCATGGCTGCGGTCCATCTCCACCCTGACTCAGTTTCTCCACCTCCCCCTAGCAGGCAGCAGCCCCCTGGACAGTCCACGGAACTTGGCTGCTCTCAGCTTCCCCTTCGCCCGGAGGTAAGTGGGGAAGGCTGGGGCAGGGCCCTCCCCGCCCCCTCTCCTCCTCTTCTCTCCTCCACACCTCCACAGCCTGGTTTGCCTGCTGGTGGACCCTTAGTAGTTCCTGCCTCTGGAACACCTGCTGTGCATGGACAGGTAACTGCACACAATTGAGGGGCCAGGAGGAAGCTGGGAACACACCATCAACCCATGGCTGCGGGCTGCTGTGCGCCCACCTCTTGGCAAGGAGACGGGTCTCTGCAGCCAGGGCTGGGACCAAGGCCTCCAGCCACACCTCACAGGCCAGGGCCAGGACCAGAGCTGTCCAGGAGGGCATCCTGGGGGCGGGAAACGCACACACACACAGTGACGCCGGGCCTGAGCCCGGGAGGCCCGTGGAAGGACTTCTCGGGCTGACTGGTGTTTACCAGCGTTCCTCCGGAGCCCCAGCACCTGCTGGCTGTCCTTCCATCTCCTCTCCTCATCCCCTGCAGGGCAGACGGCAGAAGATGGTCCCTCGCGTCTCTCCCATCCTCTGGCTATGGCACCAACACACCCAGTTCCACAGTCTCGGTACCACTGGCTCCAGGGTGGGCAGACTCACACATGGTGCCATGTAGGGTGTTAGGTAGTTGCCCTGGCTGCCCCTCCCCCTGTCCCCAGGGTCCCCTTGACCCTGAGATCCTTCAATCTACAGGACACGGACGTCCTTAACTCCTGAAGTCGGAATTTGATAAAAGGAAGATCTGGGGCTGCAGGCAGGGAGGGGGCAAGCATGGGGCGCTGAGGAGCGCCCAGGAGAGAGGCAGGAGTTGGGCACGGCTCCGGGCCCTGACCCGCCTCTCCCCGCAGTCGAGCTCGTCCTCCCGGGAGCGCCTCCACCAGCTCCCCTTCCAGCCCACCCCAGACGAGCTGCACTTCTTGTCCAAGCACTTCCGCAGCTCCGAGAGCGTGGTGGACGACGAGGGGGGCCGCTCCCCGCGCATGCGCCCCCGCTCCCGCAGCCTGAGGTGCGCCTGCAGTCCCACCCCGGCCCGGCCCTTCCCAGGCCTCCCTCGGCTTCCGGCCCAGATCCCGGGTCCCAAGCCCGCCCTTCTGTCCCTTGGCAGCCCAGGACGCACGTCAGGGACCTTTGACAATGAGATCGCCATGATGAATCACGTGTACCGGGAGAGGTTCCCGAAGGTGAGCATGCTGGGGTGGCCAGGTGGCGGGAGGGCCGGCCTTCCCTCTGCCTCACCCTGCCCTGAGCAAGACTGCCAATCTCCCGCCCCGCCCCGCCCTCGCCCCGCCCTCTGAGCGAGACTCCGCCCTCAGCGGGACTGCAAGGGTCCACTCCTCCCAGCCCCGCCCCTCGCCCCGCCCTCTGAGCGAGACTCCGCCCTCTGAGCGGGACTGCAAGGGTCCACTCCTCCCAGCCCCGCCCCTCGCCCCGCCCTCTGAGCGAGACTCCGCCCTCAGCGGGACTGCAAGGGTCCACTCCTCCCAGCCCCGCCCTTCGCCCCGCCCTCTGAGCGAGACTCCGCCCTCAGCGGGACTGCATGGGACCACTCCTAGCCCCGCCCCTCACCGTGCCCCGCCCTCGCGCGCCCAGGCCCGCGCTCGCCCTTTGTGCATCACTCCTCCCAGCCCTGACCCCGACACTGCCCTCTTACCCGCCCAGGCCACAGCCCAGATGGAGGGCCGCCTGCAGGACTTCCTGGCAGCCTATGCGCCGGACGACGCCCGTCTGGCCTTAGCCGATGGCGTCCTAGGCTTCATCCACCACCAGATCGTGGAGCTCGCCCGGGACTGCCTGGCCAAGTCGGCTGAGGCCCTAGTCACCTCCCGCTACTTCCTAGAGATGCAGGAGAAGCTGGAGCGGCTGCTGCAGGATGTGTGTGGTGGGCGGAGCCGTGGCGGGAGGGGCTCTGCAGATGGTCTGGTGGGCGGGGCCTATGTAGGGCAGGGCTGTTTGGGCGGAGCCTTGGTGGGAGTGGCACGAACCACTTCCTGACTTGGAGTGGCCACACCCACTCCGGGGTGGGCGGGGCCTCGTGCCTCCCCGGTCGGCTTGCCCTACTTGACAGGCTCGGGTCCACGGTGGCCGTTCATGATGAGGTTCGGGGCCGGCCGCGGGGTGCGGCCGTGGTGACGCCACGCCCCTCGGCAGGCCCACGAGCGCTCGGACAGCGAGGAGGTGGGCTTCATCGTGCAGCTGGTCCGGAAGCTGCTCATCATCATCTCCCGGCCGGCGCGGCTCCTGGAATGCCTGGTGAGGCCCGGGCGGCAGTTCCGCGCGTGTGCGGGTGCGTGCGGCGGGCGCCGGGGCCGGGGCCGGCCAGGGCCTTGCGCTGGGTTGGACCCTGAGCTCTGGGCCCGCTCTGGTCCTGTGCGTCCAGGAGTTTGATCCCGAGGAGTTCTACCACCTGCTGGAGGCGGCCGAGGGCCAGGCCCGGGACAGCCAGGGCATCAAGACGGACCTGCCGCAGTACATCATCGGACAGCTCGGCTTGGCCAAGGACCCCCTGGAGGGTGAGCCCGGGCAGGGGTGTCGTGCAGGTCCAGTACTTATCTAGCACCTGCCAGGTCCTGGGTTCCATCCCCAGCGCCTCAAGAAGAGGACGGAAGGGACTGGACTAGTTAGGTAAGCCAGGCTCGGTCGCGGCCCCGAGGTGGAGCTTGGGGGCCCCCAGCGCAAGCGCAGCCCGGCCGCAGAGACTGGCTTCCAGGTCGGGTGTGAGTGAGCGGCTCCCGCGTGTGTTCCCCGGGGATACTGGGGCAGCTCTGAGCCCTGGGCAAAAGGGACCTTTTAGGAAATGAAGCGAGCAGGGCTGGGGGCGTGACCCAAGTGGAAGAGTAGGGGACACAGTGCCCGGCTCCGGTGGCCCGGCCTGTGGAGGCAGCCTCCACACAGCCCTGGAGCGAAGGGTACAAGAGCGTGGAGAGAGGCTGGACTCGAACTCAGGCCCTTGCTCCTGGTGCCCGCCTCAGTTTGTGACCACAGGACCTGGTTGTGTTGTCGTCAGGTGTCTGTGTTCACCACAGCTCACCAGGAATTGGCCCACTGCATGTCTGGGTCTCGGAAGTAAGGGGGTCCCCAGGTAGCTGGGCGAGGCCTCCGCGTTCAGGCGGTTTCAGGTGCTCAGATATAGGAAGCCCAAAGGGCCTACAGCCTTCCAGAGTGTTCTGTGGGCCTCAGTTTGGCTGTCCAGCCCTAGGAACCTTGTCCCTAGACCAGGAGGGGCCAGGCTGGACACCCTGCCGAAGGCTGCTGGCCCAGGCTGGGTGCCGGGACCCCAGCCTACGGGAGGACTGTGAGTTCTAGGCCAGCTTGGGTCCGAAGGGAGGCCAGGTCCGGAGGCGATGGGAAAAAGGCTCTTCCTTCCGCCCGCAGAGATTGTGCCTCTGAGCGACCGGGAGGAGGGACCGCCCCCCGCGCCCGGGTCCCCCGGCTCCCCTCAGGTGAGCAGCCGCTTGCACCCCTCCCCCGGTGCTTTCCGGGGAGGTCGAGGAAAGCTGAGTGAATGTCAGGGAGGAGCGGGGCTGACAGCGCGGGGGTCGGGGAGGAGCGGGCTGGGAACGGGGTGTCGCAGTTGGCAGGAGCAGCTGGGAAAGTGGGGTGCCGAGTGCGGGGTCTGCGGTAGGCCAGCATGGCGCGGCCCTGTCGTCGGGGAGGCCTGAGCCCCGCCTCCGCCCCCAGAACCGCGCCCTGGCCGGCCCCGCTCGTAGAAAGCCTCGGGAGAGCGACTTCGAGACCATTAAGCTCATCAGTAACGGGGCGTACGGGTGAGTTCTGGGGACCCCCGCTTCCGGCGGCTCAGGGTGCCTCGGCCTGCCGCACACCTCCACCTGCACGGCTCACACTGGGGGGGCGAGGCCCTGTCCTGGGGAGATGGGGGAAGG